TGATAAAGACATTGAACAAAACCAACACCAGGACTGACCCCTGGCTGCCAAATAGATATTGAACCATTGATTAGTACGCTTTGAGCCAAGTGCTCCAGCCAGTTTTCTGCCCACCAAGCACATACAGCCCCAATGGCATCTCTGGGCCAATGCTTAGACTTGAGCTTGCAACCTTTCCACCAAAAGGTCATCACACAAACCCCCGAATCACAGAAGAAGTGGTTTGATAGGTGTGGGAGCCAGGACAAGTAATTCGTTTCTTCCAGGCCTCGTTATATACATGTGCAAGGTTTCCTCACTTCTAGGGGAAGATTAGATACTTGAAATTGCCATGTCTTTGCATGCTTAACTCTTGCAGCAAAGTAGAAGTCCTTAGCTTCTTGTGTCATATCTAGTCATGGAAACTGACTCTATTGCTGCTATTAATACTGCATGAAAGAGACTGGAAATTTATATCATACAAAACTATAAGACACCCCAGAAGACAGAGAAGTAGCATGCCAAACTGTGGCCATTGCAAGGCTCGAAGGAAAGATGAGGCTTTTCAACGCAGGCAAACTGTTCACGTCACACTTGTTTTGTAATCCCTTGTTTTATTCTGTCCCAAGCATTTGGATCTAGAAAAGATTAGCTCCCCACCCCCACAGTCTCCGCAGGGTGTTGACATAAAGAATTAACACAAGCGTATTATTACTAAAAACTCCAGTATACAAGCCAGAGGAAATGATTAACAAATACCTAAGTGCAGTTGTTTGTTTGTTTCTTTGTTTGTTTGCAAACTGTCATTGACAAAATGAAGGTGATTTGTGCGTTATCTGCAATCAATAACAGATGCATTTTGAGGAGGCTGTGATATGTGCTGCCTTAGCCTCTGCCAAAGAGGAGAGAAAGCATTTAGGAAGAACAGTTTTCCCTCCAATTTGAATACTTAGCTGTGCTCCATGTAGAAAATATAGTTTAGCACCACACTGTGTAAATATTCTCCCATTATCAAGCTTACATTGGGATGCGACTTCTATTAAGATGCAGGCAGAAATGCAACTCCCAGGTCTAACTCATGGCACTTCAGAAAAAGCGCCATGAGTTAGATCATTTGCTTGTTGGGTCAGGAGGGTGGTTGATTAAGATCCAGTTGCAGCTGATCTGGGGAGAGAAGCTGCATGTCTGAAGTATCTGTCCCCTAGCCCTGCCCCCACTCTCCAAGCTCCCGTGCTGCCTCAGGATGGGTGGGAGGGAAGGCAGGGGATTGAGGTCCATTCTGGGGTTTCCCCAGATGCACTGGTATGTGTGTGTGTGTGTGGGGGGGGGCGGGGGATTGGACCTCCCACCTTGGGGAACCTCTAATCCACCTGCCCCACCCTCCAGCGCTGGCTTGGCAACCCCTGAAACGAGCCCCTTTCCTTCCTCCCATTTTGGAAACAGCACTGGGAACACTGCTGGGCTATGTCAGCTGAGCCCTGCTCCCAGCACGTGCAGACATGTTAGTGAAGGCACTCCACTTAAGAGCACCTTCATCTGAACCCTCATTTAATGAGGGTTTAGCTTTTTGTGGGATTGGACTCTTTTAAAGTGCTCTGCAGCTGTGCATGTGTGTTTGGTCACAGCTGTAAAGCACTTTCAGGGTCCAGGTTAGCCAAAAATTCTCACTTCTGTCTGCACCTTTAGAGAGCTGCTCTCTGCTGAAGCCCTTGGCTATCATACTGCATATGCATCTGGATCCAGAAAATCTCTCCATCATGAGCTTCCTTGACCTTGAGCAGTCTTGTGGAAGTCAGCAGGATTTATGGAAGTACCTAAGTGTTTTTTAGGACTAGAGACTTGATAAGTGCAGTTGCTATATAGACATAGAATCATAGGAAGATGGGGCTAAAAGGGACCTCATCAGTCATTCGGTACCTGCTCCAGGCAGGATCATCCTTGGTGAAACCATTCATAGCATCATAGAAAATTAGGGTTGGAAAGGATCTCAGGAGGTCATCTAGTCCAACCCATGCCATTCCATTCAAGTGTTTGTCTAACCTGCTTCTAAACACTTCCAAGGAGGGAAATTCTCCAACGTCTCTGGGTAGCCTTTGTCAACAATTAATCACCTTCATAAAGGGAAAGTTCTTTCTACAATCCACCCCAAATTTCCCTTCCCACAGTTTAAGTCCAGGGCTCCTGCCCTGTCCCCTGGGTCCACATACCATTGACTATCTTCATCCTCTTTGTAATTGCTCTTTAGGTATTTGGAGAGTGATGTTAAATCCTTTCTCAGTCATTCTTCTCCAGACTGGGTAATTCCAGTTCTTTCAGCTTTTTTTTCACAAGTCATGTTTCTCAGACTTCTCATCATTTTGTTGCTCTATGCTGGATTTTTTCTAATTTTCCCACATCGATCTTGGTCTGGGGCCAGAACTGAAAACAGTGCTCCAGGTAAGGCCTCACCAGTGCTGAATAGAGCAGAAGCATCACTTGCAAGTGACAGTCCTATTTATAAAGCCAAATATGCCGCTGGCTACTTTTTTTTGTCCAAGAAGACTACACTGTTGGCTTATATTCCTGCTGTTCTCCACTGTAACCCCTTGGCCCTTTCCCTCAGTATTGCAACCTACCCATTAATTTCCCAGCCTGTATTTGTGCTTGTGAGCCTGCTTCTCAGTCAGGATGTTGCACATGTCCTCTTTCGATTTTATCTAATTAGTTTCAGACCATTTCTCCAGTTTATCAAAGTCATTCTGAATCCTAAGCCTATCCTCTGGAAAGTCCCTCCACCCAACTTGGTGTCATCTGAAAATTTGCTAAGTGTGCCCTCAGTCTCATTCTCCAAATCATTAATAAAGGTATTAAATAACAGCAGACCTAAGACAGACCCCTTTTTACCTGCTTGCAATTACATGTTGTCAGCCCTTGATGACTACTTGTTGAATATGATATCCAACCAGTTATGTGTCCACCTTCTAGTACTTTCATCTAGACTGAAGTGACCAGCCTACAGCACGTGTACCACAAGTGAGATGGGCATGAGACAGGCACCACAAAGGCAGACAGGACAGGAAGCCCAAAGCCGAGCAGCCAATGGGGATTGGAGTGACATTTGGGGATGGCGTGGAGCCAATTTCTGGCACACCTGCCAAAAAGGTTGGCCCCTGTTGATCTAGATCATATTTCCTTAGTTTACTAATAAGAAATGTCATGGAAGACCATGTCAAAAGCCTTGCCAAAATCAAACATCAGCTGTTCTTCCTTATCCACAGAGCCCGTCTTCTTGTCATAGAAAGAAGTCATGTTGATCAGGCGTGACTTGCTCTTCGTGAATTCTTATGGGGGCTCTGCTAAAACATGCAGCTCTTAATCAAAAATGAATTGCATGGGGCTTTGAGTAGCAAGGTAGAACAGATAATATCCTTTAGCAGCGCTTGCTTTGTAGCAACTGGACTCACTAGATATGCTTTGCGTAGTCCCCACAACAGTCTCACCCTGATATATCACCCTTTGTTTAGTGGAGTTGACTTGTGATTTGCACTGGGATGAATGAGAGGAGAAGTCCCAATTACTGTACCCTACATTCTTCTATAAACATGTCTTGACACACAAACACTGTGACCCATTGGTAACAGCAAGAATATTGATAAGGTAGGTATATTTCCAAATTTGGACTCGTAGAAAAACTGGCAAGCTGCACGTGTCCTAGAAAATATTCTGTATTTGCACCCTGAGATATCAGGGTACTTTACAAACCACAGCTAAAGCTCAAAGCAGTCCTGTGAATAAGGATTGTTTCCATTTTACACATGGGAAGGCTGAATCTGGGGGGGGGAAATGATTTTCAGCAATCAGGGGCAGAGTCAGGAGTAGAACTCAGGCATCCTCCATCAAAAAGCCCTGCTCTAACCACTATGGTTAAATAAATTAAAAACCCTGACGCCCATGTCCAGATGACCATGGACGTTTGGTTCCCCAGCGATAAGTAGCAGTGGTTCACCTGGCGCTGCAGCTACTTATTCCTGGGGAATGCCTGTGCCACACATGCTTTGGCATGCAGCAAGTTACCCCAGGGGCAATAGGGGAGGCCAGGGCCAGCACTGTACTGACCTTGGCACCTTTACCTGGGTTCTTGGGGGTCTCCCAGGGCTTCAGCGGCAGTGATCCTGCCAGACAGGCCCTGGCTGGCAGCTTTAGCGTGGCGTCAGGTGACCCGGCTCCACTTTTCAGCAGTGCGCACTGCCCATGTACATGCTGCTCTGTTGGGTTTTTTTCCATGGGTATCCAGGAGTCAAAAAAACCTGCAGAGAAAAAAAAACTAGAGCAGTGTACGCATGGGCAGCACGCCCTAGCAAAGTGGAGAACACCCAACAATGTGGTAAGTTGGCACTACAGACATGTTTGCAGCACCACATACCGCACAGCTGCGCTCGTCTGGACGCACCCTATAATTTTGTACAGATATGGTCCAAAATGCTGCAGTATCACCATCATAGGCATCACTTTCACATGCACATAACCATTACATGGACTCAGTTTAAATATCGAAAATAAAGAATCACTTTCTGTTGTCTGAAAACAAAACTAACGATACAATAAAAGACAGTATTTCCATAACTTTGCCTCATGCGTGTATATTCAGTATTTGGAAGGCAATGAGAACCATGTGGATAAGTGCTGTGTGACTCTGGAAACAGAAAGGGAGTCTGTCTGCCTTCCTTGTGGCAGGCACAGCACTGTCCTCTAGCAGAGGAATGTGATTTGCATTTGATAAGCAGACTGTATCCAAACCATAGGAGATGCACATTTTAGCAACTCGGGAGACAAAAAAAAAAAGAGTTGAGTCTGGCAAGCATAAGAGGCACTGTCCTACTGGAGGTTGCCAGCTCTAGAAAGGGAAGAAGTGGTCTTGTGGTTAAAGTTCAGCCCTACAGGTTGAGCGAAGGATTCTCTTTTTTCTAGTAACATCTTGAGCAAAGTGTTTATAAAGGTTTTCAACTTCCCATGGTGTTTAGATAGTTTTTTTTTTCTTTCAGCTGGAGGAGTAAGGGGCACAGACTGAATAGATTCTACATGGAAAAACAGGAGAATTGCCTACTGTGTACGGGCCTGCCTATGTGGCTCTGTTAGTAGAATAAGATGCTTAAGTATCTAAAAGAGGATGTGTGCAAGTGAGTTATGCTGAATTAATCTCTGTTTATGTGCTTTGAGATTCCTAAGCTTTATTGTTATACTTCTGTGCCTGTGAATCAGAAGACAATTCCTTCCTATCTGTTTGCTAATTCCACATCATTGAAACTTTGAAATTGGATGCATTTCCACAACAGTCTGAATGACAATTGGTAATCAGAAATGTTATGGACTATCAGGTCAGCAATAAGAGAATTATTAGCAATGTGAATTGAACCAGCGAGCTTTCTGTGGTGATTGTTACTTTCATTAAATACTACTGCAATGGGAATTCAACTACAGTAGTATAAACCCAATGCCTGCCAGAATCCAGAACTAGGGGAGATGCAATCTCCACCAAAACCAAAATCAGACCCAGATTAAATATTTGGGTTTTTTATTGTAGCTTCATCTGCTATTCCTCTTGTCATGGTTCATCATTTGACTGTTATAGCAAGGGTATGCATACCCCTGGGGGTACTTGGGAAGACCCCAGGGGTATGTGGCAGTGGTGCGGAGAAGCAGGGGCACTTCCGGTTTCACTGGCAGCACTTCTGGTTTTGTCACTGGCACTTCCAGTCTTGCTGCTGCTGTGCACGGGGGACATTGCCCCCGCTTGTCAGTCAGCTGCCGGGGATCCCCTTCCCCTATTCCGCCCCGCTTTCATCGACTGGCCAGGGAACTCCCTGCTTCTCAACCAGCCGCCAGGGGTACACCAACTAAAAAAGGTTGAAAACCCCTGTACTACCCCTGGATTACAGGTGATAAGGCACCTTCTTCTTAGACCCCTTCGTTAAGGCCAAGGCATAACAAGATCAAAAGAAAACAGAGGGAGAGGAAGAATGTTACTGAACTGGCCTAAAGAAGGTTTCAAATCTTCACACTCAGGTTTGGGGCCATGGCTGTCAAATGTATGTGCATTTATTCTAAATCAGGGGTACCCAATCCGCAGCCCATGGGCCAGATCCGGCCTGCAGAGCTGTGTCTTCTGCCCGGGTCTGGAAATTTGGAAGCAGGCGAGTGGTAATGACTCCTCCCAGCGCTCTGTCACTGCCAAATTTCTAGACCAGTGGAGAATCTGGTGGCCTGGATAGCGTGGCCCTGCACACTGGATTAGAGTACGATCCAGATGCGTGGGGCCAAGCCAAGGTGGGAGGGGGCCTGATCCAGACCTGTGGGGCCCTGCAAGGGATCCTGTCCAAGGACCAGCCCTGTGCCACTCATCCAGCCTGGAGCCCAAAGGCTATTCGAATTAAATCACAGCAGCATAACAGTGTAGGTTTTCAGCCTTCAATCCACATTCCTTGCTTCTTTAGGCATGAATTAGTACTTCACTGTTACTCCTGCCTGCAGCTCTCTAGCGCATTTTCATCTGCTTAGATGTGCAGGAAATTGTTCCACATAGGATCGAATCATCTTCAGTACAGAGGACGTTGGCTGGTCCAAAGCACTGCTGAGGCCCCAACTCAGATATGCAGTGAGACAGCTACAGGAAGTGTAACTGCCTAGAGGAGGAGAGGTTCTCTCCAGCTCAGTGCCAGTCCTGCAGGGATATCGATTGCAGCCCTGGGATCTGCACCTGTATAGATGAAGTGGCTTTTACAGCAGACACGTTGAGGCCAGAGTCTCTAATTAAATGCAGCGAGGAGTGCAATCTCTGGAGGTTTTGTCCTGCAGTCTGATCCTGGATGGGGTGGCTGAAAGTCTGGGGGCCCATGATTCTCTTGGGTCCACGTCTATAGATCTCTTCATTGCATGGAGCTTGTCTCATCATTCTGCTACACTTCAGGGATAAGAAAGCATCTTGCCTTACAGCCATAAAGTCAGATAAAATCATCTTCCTTTTTAATGCCACTCATCGTAGCATTAAAATACCTGATTACGCTTGAGGAGGAAAGTGCATTGGATATTGCAGGCGTGAGACTAATCAATGCTGTATGTTTCCCTCTGATTACTACTGCCAGCTGTGTTGCCACATACATTTCACTTTTCATGGAGCGGGCAGCTAATGGTGGGAGGAGGCAGGCTTTGTAACCTACCATTTAGACCTCTTCCCAGTTCACATCTTGCCCTCAGTTGCTGATGGAGCCATGGGAGGTGTTTTGCTGTATGGGCCACATCACAGGAAATGAGGCCGTTTGCATGTTTCTTTTTAGCAAACGTCATGCCATAAAAATGAAACGAAAGTTGAATTCAAACTTATGTGAATAAAGCCGTGGCATGGGAGAACCATGCAGTCTTCTGCAGCCATAGGTGCCTGATTCTGCAGTACACAGATAGCTCCTGTTGAACCAAAGTGGGGGCTGGTGTGTGTAGGAATGATGTGCTTGGATCCAACCTCTGTCAAGCCAAGAACAACATTTGTAACTTGTCGGGAGTGGAAGGAATCTTGTATGACTGACTTGCATGGGAAGGTGGACAACATGCTGAAGCTTTTAAGATGGGGACAACCTGTGGAGATAGCAGGTCACAGCTATTACCACCTAATTCTGGGGCTAATTCTGGGGCTAAGTACAGACAATCAAAAAGCCCAAGCCTGAATTGATTCACTCTTTGCAGGTTAGTTTAACATGCGTAGATTGAACCAGTAAGCAAGTGAACAGACATTCACTTTTGATTCTGGAAATGCACCCACGTGCCTGCAGTGGCTCAGACCAGAAGTTGGGAGCACTAGAGCGAGCCCTCCCTTCCCTTTGGTAGTAGCAGGAAGGCTGGAGGGAAGGTGAGCTGAGAGGGGTTGGATCCAGGGCCCAGTAGGCTGCTGAGTGTGATTGGGCACCCCCCCCCCCCCCCCCATGGCCTGCAGGGACCCAAGCCTGGGGTCTGATGGCTTTTCCCCAACCGGGCTGGCACGGGGCCCCAGGCAGGATCTGCCAGCCAGGTGGGAAAAGCTGGCAGACCCCAGCTGGGGTCCTTTGCTGGTGGGAGAGGTGAGGCAGGGAGTGTTAGTCCCCACCGACTCCCATCTGCCTGAGCCTGCTGCCCCTTACCCCTGCCCCCTCCACTCCAGCAGGAAAAAGTCTGACAGGGACTGCTCTGCCCACCCCCAGGCAAACCAGCCGGGTTTCCCACCCCACCCCCTTGTCATCCAGCCCTCATTGCTCTGGCTGGGGAGCAGAGGGGTAGGGCCAGCCCAGCTCTGCTTGAGCAGACCAGCCCAGGGCTGCAAATCATCCTGGGATGTTGAGGGACTGTGATTTAATTTGAACCAGGAAAGTGTCTGGGGACAGAAGTTCCATAAACCGGTTTGACCTAAATCACTTAAGTCTGATACTACATTGAACCAGGTTTACCATAAACTAGTTTTGGCCATTTTCAAACTGGTTTATGTGCACTGAGCTTCTGTACTGTTACAGGTTTAAACCAGTTTCTGGTCACTTGAACCAGTTTTATGTGTCACTTCTGTCCCCAGCCTAGAAGAACAAGGTGGAGAACTGCATTCTAGGACCTGCCACACATGCTCCGGACTAGATTAGATTAGACTATACAGTCCCAATTTAGGAAGGCATGTAAGGACGTGATTAATTTTCAGTGTGTACTCACCTAACTCAAGTACAGTCCCTTTGGCATCAGTACAACTGTCCACAAGCTTAAATACCTTCCTGAACAGGGAACTAAGTGATTTGTTGAATCTGAGCCTAGAACTCTAAGTCAGATCTGGCTCTTTGCATTTAATACTTGAAGCTGCTCAAAGGTCTCTAAGATAATTTATTGCCTGTCCTGTTTAGAGGGAAACATTTACTGAACAGAGTAAAAATATTTAATATGTTGTAAATTGCTTGATGGATTTTCTGCAAGTTGGTTCTTTGGTTCACTGTTCGGTTTTTCCCAGAGCTGAGGAGCATGTTAAAGAATTCACCAAGATATTTAGTATCATGCTCATCACCCTAGAGTATCAGCTTCAAGAGGAGGCATTATAATAGGGGCTTTTATTTTCCTTCATTTTATGAGGAACACACAATGTTAGTAAATATAGTTTTGAATATGGTAATTACCGTGTTAACATTTGAATGTGGAAATCTTTCCATTCCATTTAGAATATTTACATCTTTCAGTTACCTAATGCACAGTCATGCGGACGATCTCTTTAGATATTCCAGGAACTGCGTATCTAAAGAATACAATATTTGCTTATAAATAAATATCTCACTTAGACCCATTATTTCTATAGAAGTTATCAGAAGCTGATAAGATGACTGCAGCCCACTAATTGAAAGGCGAAATAATTCCATGAGTTTTGTTCTCCTGCCTTCCCCACCGCAAAAAAAACCCTCCTAAAAATCATATTGAATATAGATAGACCACAGAAACACAGGAAATAACACAGACAATTGGAAAACGAAGCTATATACAGATGCATTTCATTATCTCTTTTCTGAATAACCATTAGATTTTTAAAAGTCATGGATTTTTTATTTTGGCAAAAAAATACATTTTATGTTTCATTGTACTGTAATGCTTATTTTTGGTATTTCAATTGGTTTGGATAGTGATTTTTCAAATGAAAAATGTATTAAAATTCATTTTATTTCTCATTATTTAGGATCTTAGGTTATTTTGGGTATTCCCTTTAATTATATTCAATTACCCTTATTATTCTTAGAGCTGCAAATATTAAGGTATATCACGGGGGAATATTTCTTTAGTAACTATTTTGATGTTATTTGAAGGAAATCTTTACTCTGATTCTTGAATTATATCATTTTTTTTACACCAAAAAGAGCCAAATGTAAAATCCAATTCAGGGCCACACCTAAATTTGGGAACTTAAACCTGTGGTTAATTTTAAGTACTGTTAAACAGCTTTATTGAATAAAGGTTTACTTCAAGCACCAACTTAATTTTAAAATGGTAGCACTTTGCCTAATTTAGGCACTAAAGGAATGTTATTTTAATTAAATTATTTATTTATTCATATAGCTTTGGCACCTAGAAACCTTAATAAGGATGAAGATCTCATTCTGCTGCTGGGCACAGTCCAAACACATAGTAAGAGACAGGCCTTGCTGCTGGTAGTATACAAGCAAGTACGGTGCTGACTGAGAGAGAGAAAAGAAACTGCTATATAATAAAAAGAGCTTTATTCTTCAAATCTACTGTCATACAGATTCCTTCAGCACTTTGCTGTCCTTTCATAAAATGGCATCCTCGCATAGGATTCAACTGAAACGAAACTTGATTTGCAAATTTCCTGGATGGGAAAGTGTATCCAGAGATGCCAACAGGGCCATCAGCCATCAGTTTTCAAACCTCATTCTAGAGGTCTCACTTACCTGCTGGAGACAAAATCAGTGGATAATGGGCCTGCCCATAATCTGAGAAAGCGGTGGGGAGCAAAGGCATAAAACCTTGCAGATCTTCCATGGTTAAAAAAGAATTGCACACAAATAGCGCTAAAGTGAAACTCCTTTAAAATCTTTAAAGACCACCTCAACAGCCTTGCAAGCTCCAGCCAGAAATGCTGAAGAGCAAAGCTGTGTGGGGCTGGTCTTCATAAAACTCGAGATTGAATACAATTCCCTTGGAAGCCAGGGGGACAAGGGCAAAGCAATTCAACAGCAGCGCACACATTTTAAGAAGCGTTTTACTGCCCTGGCTCCTCTGACCTCTGCAGTAGTCTCGCTGTTACTCAGAATGGAGCAGGTTTATATTTCTCCTCTTTTGAAAAGTTGTTTATGCAACGCTCTGCCTCCCTTTGTTCTGCATCGTCTTCTCCGTCAGCTATTCCTGCGTCTTGCCAGAAACAAGGGGCTGCAAAAGGAGCAGGCTAGCAAAAAGCAAGGCTAGCCACTTGCTCAGGGCACAAACATCATCTGCTCTGAAAGGGCCAAATCCTCCACATGTCTCTGCATGTACACATGCAAACTCTGGCACTGGACTGGGAGACTCTAATTTATTTATTGTACGTACCCTGGTATTTGCTAGAAGATTCATCCAAGATCATGTTTGCATTTAGTTAGGCATTGCAAAGTCACACAGTATAATACATTCTCTGTCCCAGAGCTTATGTTCTATTCTAAAAGAAAGACACAGGGGCCACGTCTGCATGTGCGCATTTACTGCACAATAACCCAAATTATTGCGCAGTACAGGCGCACATCTACACATGCATGCCCATACTGCGTAGTAAATATGGTGAATTACACCAACTTGAGCGTAAGTTTGATACCTGCATTATGCAGGTATCTAATTTACACCCAATCAGTTACTGCCTAAAGTGTACATGCCTTACTGCGCAGTAACACTGCATGTATGTGAACTGACTTGGGACTAACTTTAGTCCCAAGTCAGTCCACACACCACAGTGTTCATGCACTTTACTACCTGCATATGTAGACGCTGGCCTATTCCCATTTACTGCAGAGTAAATTACTACACAGTAAATTTAAACCAGCGTAAATGCACGTGTAGACATGCCAAGGGAGTTGAAATGACTCAGTGAGGCTTGTCTAGCATGTTGGCCAAGGAACCCAGAATAAAACTCATGCCCTGGACTTTGTCAGTTGTACTGCTGCCTCCCTGCAGCTGGAACTGCACATAGGACTCCTCCCCAGTTCTTTTCCATGCAGAGTCGGGTATGGAGGACAATGGCCACTGACCCTGGTAATTCTTCTCCTTTGCTGAAATCCCTTCCACTGTTCAGACCTTCATGCTCACACTAGATCACATGCTCCTTGGGGTAGCAACCAGGCCTTTGTGTCTGAACTATGCAGTGTTTAGCACCTGTTTGGGCATGGTGGCAGGGATTTGGATTTAATTTTCAAATCCCACCATATTCAATAAGAGTAGGGCAAAATCCTGAAAAATGGAGTGTGTGCTCATGGGCTGCCCTTTGCTCTACCATAGAGAAAAAGACATGGCATCACTTCACAGTGCTGCTAGCAGTACAGTTGAGCAATAAAAACCAAAGCTGCACTTGTTCCTGCTTATTTCATATTTAGCAGGCAAAGGCCAGTGTTTACCAGCTTTACAAATTTAGGTGCAAAAACTTGGGTGTGCCTCAGCCTTTGGCCTTTTTTTTCAGTTCCCTTGACTTTGATGACAACACCAAACTTCTTTTCAGGGAGATCATATAAAGCATGGCCTGGTTTCTCTAATGCTTTATCTCTGAGAGGGGAGGACTGAACTTAAGCATAGCAAGAAAGAAAGGAAATGAAGCAAATGCTTTTTCCTTGGACAGATTCTCACATCCTTTCTGGATGGAAAATATAATTCCCATGTAAATGTTGGTGGCTGTGCATTAGTGAATACAGGTTCCTCCTGTACGGTGTGTTCCCTAGAACATTATCTCCTCATTGTTCCCACACACTGGCCTCGTCTACATGAGTGGCGGACTGCACAGTTGTTACTGCACAGTCATTTAGTACTTGCATAAGTACTTACTGACTGGCAGGCAGGGAGGAATAGTCACTAGGGAGACAAGAGGCAACACAGCAGTTCCTGGCATGCTTTAAGTATAGAAATTTGGGGGAACAGAACCCTGAATTCCCCGCCCCCACCCAACAGGGGTGCATTCCTGATCCCTTATGTACTCCCTCCAAAAGAATAAGTAACTTGCATAAGCAAATACTAAATGGCTGTGCACTATCCAGCATTACTGCACAGTACCATCCCCGCATGTTTTTTTCAGACACTACTGTGCAGTAGCAATGAGCTATTGTGCAGTAGCTCGTTACTATCGTGCAGTAGTGTTGCATCATGGTTAGTGCCCATCAGTGCTACTGCGCAGTAGTGTCTCTTGTAGACATGAGCGCTAATTAGGAGAGAGTTGTATAAACCTCCAATGAGTCAGGGTACCGTAACTTCAAGTTTTTGGGTTTTTTTTAACTTGAAGCTCAAGACCCACAGCCACAGAGCAGTGTGTCAGCACTCCATAAACACCATGCTTTTGTCTTGCACTGCTCCTAGGTCGGGTTGCATCATACTTTGTGCAAGCGATGCTCTCCTGGAGTTGTGCTGTCTGCGTCCAAAAAAATAATAATAAAACAAAAAAGCTTTAATCACACTTGCCTGACAGCTGCTTTTTAAACCAAGATCCATCAGGAGAGAGAGGGAGAGCAAATGGGGCTGTTTCTCACACTCCAAGAACATCCCTTCTGCTAAGCATAAGAAACATGTTTTTTTTTTAAGGTAGCTCAAGTTTGTGACTGCCGGCTTATGCAACCTCTGTCATTTAAATTTCTGTCAAGCTCATCAGCCCAAATATTTGCACATGCTAATTTGTTCAGCTGAGGCCTCTTGGTCTGTCATATTCCTGCAGCCCATGCGTTCTGTTGGCTCGCTCTTTGGGACAGATTGCCTACTTTTGGATTTGTTATTAAAAGATAATATTGACTTAGTTTCCTTTGCATGGAGCTGCAATCTTGTCTCCTAAATGCTGGGGGTGGTTTTCTTTTGGTGGTTGCAAGCTGCTTACAAAGCACTCTGTCCTCTTGCTTTCAATGACACCAATCATTATTGACTCCTTCCCAGGGCTGCCAAGTGTCTGGCACCTTACAGCCCAGCCGTGTCATACCCACCGGCATCTCCACCTCATTCTCAGCTTCTGGCTGAACTCGGGGCCAGCAGCAGTCACTAGCCTGTACTTGCTCGTCTGGGATGCTTGTATACGCCACAGGAGGTTAATTTGGTTTAGTACTCCCTAAATTGAAACAGTGGGTTTTTGAAAAACACCGCTTCGATTTAGGGAGAATTAAACCGAACTAAACCCCTGTAGCATGTACACAAGGGTGGGGGCCCGATCCTTACCTGCCTCTTTGGCAGCAGGAGCGGCAAACTGCTGGCAGACCGAGTGGTCCCTGAGCTGCGTGGGGACCCCCAGGCAGCACCTGCCCACTGGCTCCTGGCCCGGGCGGTCCCAGGGGGAGCCACAGCCACGGAGGGAAGCATCGGGCCCCTGCACAGCTTAGACAGGCAGGCAGGCTCTGGGGAAGGGGAAAAAAAAAGATCAGGCTCGCCACCTTTTTTTTTCCTTCAGCGGAGCCTGCATGCATGGGCTGCCACCGGTCCCACAGCCCCTGAGCTGTGCGGGGCCCACCGAGCCCTGAGCACGTTGGCTTCCAGCACCCCATGCGCTGTCACACTTTGTTAGGTAGCAACCTAAAACACCTCGGAGGTGTTTTATCTTGCTACGTACCAAAGTCATTTAAAGCAGAGCACGCCGTCAAGCGTGCAAACAGCGGTGCCATTAAAGCAGAATACACCGCCGAGCGTGCAAACAGCAACACCATTAAAGCGGTGCAGAAGGGCATTTGAGCTGCTTTAAAATCCAGTTGTGTGGCATGTACAAAGGCCCCTGATCTCTCAAGAGTTGAGCCAGCCTCTCTGCTCCCTGTGCTGGGTCCCAGGAAGGAAGGCACAGTGGGAGGAGGAGGAGGAGCAGCATGTGGCTGAGCAGCCCAACAACCATCCTTTATCTCTGACCTCCTTGGTGAGCTGCACTGGCTCTCCCCATCACAACACTTCCCTGCTCCCTTCCCCAACATCTATGCTCAGTCTTAAGTCTCCCCAGCTATCATAGCCCTAACCCCTTCCCTACCTCCTACCTTCCCTCCATGGCAGCCTAAAGCTTTCTTATCTGGCACCACCCCTAACTACTCTGCAGCCCAGGACCAGCTGTGCCAGTGCTTCTCTCCAAGCACACCAGGTGTCCACCACCCACGCAGCTGGCCTGCTCATCTCTTCTATAGCTTCCCTCAGCCTCTTTGATGTACCAGTAGGGGCCTTGGAGGCTGGAGTGGTTCCTGAGGCAGTTGGGGACTATGAGCAGCTGTTTGCATTCATGGACTATGGAGGGGATGGGCAGTCTGCTCTTTTTTTCCCTGCTCTCGACTGGCAGGCAGGGAGGAATAGTCACTGGGGAGAAGAGAGGCAACACAGCAGTTCCTGGCATGCTTTAAGTATAGACATTTTGGGGAACATAACCCTGAATTCGCCCCCGCCCCTTCCCACCTGACAGAGATGCATTCCCGATCCCTTATCTACCCCCTCCAACAGGATCTCAGCCCTGTGCCACAGGTCACCTACAGAGCAGCTCAGGTGCGGTACCTGTGCTTTACCCGTCTGTTCATT